TCACTAGCTCTAGTCACTGTTTCTACTCATGCCCAAAAATTCCACTCCGTCGATTTATAAATTGAAATAATATTTACAGTCCGTTTGTTACGTCTCCAGTCCGTTAAACTATAAATCCAGCTTAAGTGTTTTTATGTATTTTTTGGTTTTATGATTTACTAAACAAACCGAGGCATATTATAAGAATATATTTTTTAATTTTAAATGACCTACAAACCGAATTTTTTTGTAAAAGAGATGACCCGTTTTCAAAATGAACAGGTAATAAAAGTAAAAATAGTCAATATAATATGAATATTGGTTATTAGAAACATTAAACTGCTACACTTAATTTATAAAAAGAAACAAAAAGATTTAAAATAAATAAGGATAGTGTAATTGTCTCCTTTTTCCGCTTCTTCGGCACTAGTAGTAGACCATTCACAGATCATGTTGTAGAATGGCTTGTGATTATCTGGAATGTGTTGTAATTTTTATGTTTATTAAAATTCTCATCTGATAGGCAGGAAGATTTTGAGGATCATGTACAAAGATTGGTGAACTGCCCTTTTGTTGAGGTTTTATAAGTTGAAAACGTTCTTCAAGAATGCCATCAATGTATGGATTAGCTAACACCATACCCAAATTATTTGAGGAAAAGCTAAATTCATAATAAAGAGTTAGGGGAGACCGGGGACAGTTCGGACCATTTTTAAAAATTAATTTTTATTAGAAAAGTGTATTGATATATTTACCTTTTAAAGTAGTTAACTTAAGCTTCCAAGGTTCAGGCATAACCAATTAAGAGCAGAATATATCAAATCAATAAATTAACAACAAAAATAAAAAAATATTGCAGGGGGTCATTTGTCCGAAGTCTCCCCAGAAACGGGGAGACTTCGGACTAGGAACTGGGAGACTTCGGACAGTACTGGGAGACTTCGGACAGTACAACATATGTTACTTATAAAAATGTATTTAAAAAAAATAGACATGTTTAGATATTAAAAAATTAATGCAATGAATAATCTTCTAAATCTGTATTAAAATAGATCATATTTTCATATCTTTGACGTGTATCTTTCAAGGGCTTCGGTAAAATACATTTTATGTCTTCAAATATAACAAAAGCATCTTCTTCAGTGGAGATAAACCGATTAGAAGTGGCATGTTTTTTATAAAATTTTACGTCGTATCCTTTTATCTGTTTTTCCTGAATTTCTGCAACATAGTGCCGAAATGTAGCTGGTGTTTTTCCATAAACTCTGGCAATTATAAACTGACCATTTGCAATATTTGTTTCTTCTGTATCCACTTCGTCATCTTGCTCTATGAAGTCAGAGGATTTTTCATTGCTCATTATGTCTTCAGAGGAAGAAGAAGAAGATGTTTCAACAATTTTTTTAGTGACTTTCTGTCTTTTTTTAGGATTTATTTTCCTTGTAACAGATCGTTTTAGTTTCCTGTTGGCAATTTCGTCTTTTTCTGGAGTATCCGTGGCAATGATACATTTGCCCTTAGGCCTGCCTCTATTTGATGTTTTACGTTCTGGCGCCTTGGGAAACGGTCTAACCATTTCTGGAGAAATGATGTTTGGAGAAGTTGAGTGACTCGGAGAAACTAAAACTTTGCTTGGCCCCGGTTTGGACAAGCTATCAAAATCTCTTTTTCCGAGTTCCGGTTCTGTAGTAGGCATTGGTCTATCTGTCACGTAAGAAGATAAGAACTCTTCTTCTCCGAATATATTCCTGTCAAAAGGCCAAATACCTGTACACTTAAAACCACTTTTAATATTAACTGGATTGGCAGCTCTGTCCCAAGCAGAAGAACAAATAGCAGGCAAGTCATATATAGAAAGTGTCTGACCAGGATTAGACAACATCCAGGAATTAGCACCATCATTAAAAAACTTTTTGAAAGGACCAAACACTGTTCGGTCCAAAGGTTGTAACTTATTAGAAGTATGAGGTGGTAGTGTCAAAACAGTAATTCCATTTTCTTTGCAGTAATCAAGTCCCTCCACTGAGAGATGGGACTCGTGGTTATCCATGATTAGTAAAATTTTATTAGTATCAGAGCAGAGTGTATTTTTGACAACATGTTTAAGTACTTTCAAAAAATTATCACTTGTCATCCATCCTGAAGGAGATACTAATCCTAAAGCAACTTGAGGAACCCCTTTCATCATGCGGTTTTCATTAAAACGTTGCCGTGGGAATACCCATATAGGAGGCAATGCTTTTCCATCAGCAGAAATTATGCCCACTTGTGTAACTAATTCTCCACGTTCACGTGAGGTCACCTGCCCTATTTGATGTTGACCTTTTCTTCCAATTATTTTAGGTACACGCTGAACTGTAGTAACCCCAGTCTAAAAAATAAGTGATATTAATTATCAAAATAACTAAACAAAATTGTTAATTGACTCACTTCATCTAAATTGAAAATCGCTGAAGATCCAAAAGAATGACGACGTAAAACTTCTTCTAATTTATTTTGAAACGTCTCAACAGTAACTTTGTTAAAACTCGTCATTCTAGCGAGACTAGTGGCTTCAGGTGTTCTAATAGATAGTACAGGATGACGTTTCATGAAACCTGAAAACCAGTCTGTTCCAGCTTCTTCATTTTCGCTCCATGTAGTAGGCATTTTAACATGGTTTTTCTTGGCAAATTCAAAAGCTAAACGTCTTGCAGCTTTAGGCGTTAGTCCATAAAACATGGAAGAACAATCTAATAAATATTTTTCAAGCATTTTTTCCATTATATCGGTAAACACTTGAGATTGCTTGAAATTTGGAGAGAATGTTACGTTGTCTATACCCACAGCTCTAGCTTTCTTTATGTAATCTAGAAGACTAGATTTAGGAACGCCGTAGGTTTTGGCGCTATTCCGAATGCTCAATTTGCCGTCAAGCACCTCTGATGTGGCATTTTTCATAGTGTCTGCAGAAAATTGTCGTTCTGTTACCCTTGTATATGTACGGGGCATTATGAGCTGTAAGCGAAAAATAGAATAACTACAGATCAGGGGAGACTTCGGACACACAGGGGAGAGTTCGGACACTGTGTCCGAACTCTCCCCTAATGCAAACATTGGTAATACAATGGGTTTATAAAAAAACTTACCTAAATATTGCAACAACATAAACGCAAATTAATGAAATAAGTATAGTAGATTACAGCACCAAAGTTTTATACGTGGTAAGTCTATGTATTATAAAATATATCTTCTGGATTGCACCGATATTTTTAGAACAAAACTCGACAAAACACTTCACAATAGATAACTCTGTGACTACGACCGAAATCACAGCTGTCAATACATAACCTATAATTATGTACAAATAAGGTTGTGTTTACCAAATGACAACAGTGCATCTTCAAAAATGTGCGAAATTCAAATGTGTCCGATGTCTCCCTGTGTCCGAACTCTCCCCGGTCTCCCCTAATACTGAAACTAACGTTTTCGTTTTTTGGAACTTCCTTACCAAAGCTTCCTGTGGAACTTTTTTTTTAAATCTGGCAACCATTTTTTAAAAGCGCTACATATATGTAAGTAATATGTCCAATATCAAATTTATTATGACTAGATGAAGACACGATTAAATCTTCATATTCCTCTACAGAGAAAATCCTGTCGTAGTGACGAAGTTTTCTTTTAACGGTACAGAAATCTCTTGTCACAATCATTAAAAGAGTAGCCTCGCTGTGGAAAGTAAATAGTATTTTTTTTTAACTTCTTGGTTATGATTAGGGCCAGAAGATATCGAATTACAGCATTATAGCGATTCTTACTTGGGCATCTGTCACAAAAGAGATGCAGCTCTTCAAAAATATCTTAAATGTTGTTGTTTATATAGTCATTTTTAAAAAGGATCAAACTTCATCGGGTCCTCTGTGTCCTTCTCCTTCGTGGTAAGAGTAAATGTTTGCTTTGTTAGTTTTAAGATTGTGTATTTTGATTCCTCACACCTTTTTTTCCATTTTAAAGGATGAGATTTACTCGCACTACTATCACTACACCACATTGTATTACGCACAGCGTCTGTTTCCAAACAGGTCTCTACAACTACTAAATAGATTGCACCGTCAATATAATAAACTGTTATACTGTGGGTAGGCCGGATATAATAAACCATTATACTGTGGGTGGGTACAAATCGCCGTTCATTTTGAAAATGGGTTATCTCTAGGAGATGACTCGTTTTCAAACTGAACTGGTTTGTAGGGTATGCTGTATTTACGGTAATAATCATGAAAGTTGACCCGTTTTTATACGGAATAGAGGCGTCTACGTGTGTTAAATAGAAATTCGACAGAAAGTGGAAATGTCAAAAAAGTGGAGATGACCCCTTTTCATAATGACCAATTCAATTGTATCAGAGACCTCGCGTCTGTAACGGCGTGACAATTTTTCACGTATATTATTACAGGTTAAACTTGTTTTTATTAAAAAAATGTTTTCATGATACCTGAATCTTTATATATAATATATTAATTACGGTGTAAAATAATAGTTTTCATTCCTGTTATTTGGTTACCTGATATTTTTCCTAATGAAATGTTTTAGCGCATTTCAAGACAAGAGAATTTATGTAAACTACAAATAATTCTGTTGATTCCCAGATACTATTAATCATAAATATTATACACGGATGATAAGAGTCAGTACTAAGCTTTAATTGTCTATTATTACTCCCATTTTATCCGTGTACTCACTTTATTTAGGTGAAGTTAACCTGGGGCCTTTGCACTATACTGACAAGAAACTGGGGAGGGTGACTCATGAAAAATGAAACCTGATATATTAATTGTACGAGGTGAAAATCAAATACGTCGTCTACTAATAAAAAAAATCCAAATAATATCGATTCACATTTTGATAGCTCTCCGTACATTTTAATGGGTAATATACTGGTATGGATATAAACTGACAGATAATTCTCTCTTATCAGTTAATCGTAGTTAATAATGCCAGTTGCGAGCCAATGTAATATTATTAAGAAAAAGTTCACTTACATGAAAGGGAATGCCACGAGAGGTAAGATGTAGATGAGTTTGTTGTTTGATGATATCCGATTGTAATAATAATAAATTAAACAGGCTAGTATGAAATAAGTTAAAACGGCTAACAATATAAATCTACCAATTATTTTTTTCCTGTACAGTTCTGTACTTCTGCCAAATTCTTCTATAGAGACTATCTCATTCTCTAACTTTTCCAAAACCTCGTATGTGCTTTTCTTCTTCTGAAACAAAAGTAAAATATATAAGCTTTACTGATATTTGTCATTTTTACATTTTATATTAATATTAAAACAATTCAAGTGAAAGCATTTAGGGATACATGCTGGACGTCCCATCCCGCATTTTACCCCCCGGAACGAGACGCAACTGCAAGTTTTGCTACGGGACGATACAGCGATTTTTCTGCGGGACACTTTGTACCGCATGTTCCGCAAAAACTCGACTTTTATTAGTATCCGAATGATTTGGTAATTAAAGTTTGAAACGTAAAAATATTTATAGATATTAAAAGGTTTTCTGTTTTAATAATTCAGATTGATGAAACAATAAATTTAGAATAACAGAAAATTTTAAAATAATATATAAAATAAAATAATAATAATAATAATAATAAAAGTAGCCTGTGGGAGTTTTGTCAGTTCTTCTATCAGGCGTGCCCCCCTGCGAATGGGGGATGCTTTCTGGGTATTCCTAGCACCAATACCCAGAGGGTAGCAGGGATATCTGAAGTGGAACAAAAACTGACACCTGGCAGTAGGTATAAAATGCACACCCATGAAAATGGAGATTAATAATTTATGTTTAGGGTCGCTGCCTGGGGATCAGCTACAACCCAACAACAAGAAGAACCACAAGTGAACCAAACAACAACAGGAGCTCCATTCGCTGAAAGTGCTGAGCTGGAACATCAGCCGACGCTCACTCAAGCGGGACGACCGAGGCAGCGCATGAAATGGACTGTGTATATAAACGAAAACATTTTGCGATTCTATTACAAGGTGACCAACCTCGGTCGAGAAACGATCGGCTATCAACATCTGTATGCCGAATTTTGCAGGAAGTACCCAGAGATTCAAGTTTCTGAATAACGAATAGCAGATCAATACCGGGTAATTATAAGAAATAATCTTATCCCTGAGACGAGATGCGATACCATCAGAAGCAAGTCGAATGGGAAATTCACAACCAAGAGCTAGTTGTAGATCAAGTCCCTGATTAAATCCCTAATGAACAGACTCCTGAGCCTTTCATACAAGAAACTCAACCTGTTAATACGCAGCACGACAATAACAAGTTGACGATAGCCTGGTAAGTGAAATGGCACGTGCCGTACAAGAGTTTAATGGGACCAACCCTCTTAGCAGACCACCGCTACCAAAAATAAGCTCTTGTAAGAAACTAGGTGCGCTGTTACAAATTGCCAACACTGAAGTCCTACCCAATTATATCGTGGAAGCCCATACATTGAAATATTTGCATATGCTGATTTACTGTGCAGCAACAGCAATTGCTAATGTTATGGGTATTAAGATCAGAACACGGCGGGGTACTAATATCGGAAGGACCGAAAACACAACTGCAGCCTGGGAAAAACGACTGCTCAGGAAAATTGAATTATTGCGTAAGGATATTGGATAAATTACGGAATATATTCAAGGAGTAAGAACTCGAAAAGAAGTTAAAAGAGCTGAAGAAATAATTCTGAACACTCCCAGACACTCACAACAGGATCCAGAAAACAACACAGCTCAATACTACCTGGACACATTAAAACAAAAACTCTCCGTTTATTCAGTTCGTCTAAGGAGATACAAAGTTAGTAACAACCGGAAATGCAACAATATACTTTTTGAGCAATGAAGAGAAGACTTTCTATAGAAAACTGAATTCCAGTGTAGAATATGAAAATAAATCCTACCCAATCCAAGAAGAAATTCATGAGTTTTGAGGAAACCTACTTTCGACGCCAGCTACTCATAACAACAATGCTGGATGGATTGAAGAAACAACGAACAACTGTCAACACTACAGTAATATTCCCTATGAACCTTTCACAACTGAAGAAGTCTCGAACATTATCAAAGAGAAAGAGGTTAATCTTTGTAAATTATCAAAGAGCTTCATAACTTGAAATCTACTGGACCAGACGGGGTTCAAAACTTCTGGCTAAAGAATTTTTGGAGTGTACACGAGCTTTTAACAGTATTAATTACCCATGTTATTTTTAATCCGCAGGAAATACCAACATTTCTTACTCAGGGAACCACTTACCTAATACCGAAGGATCAAAATAACACCCAAGATCCAGCCAAGTACTACCCCCCAATTACTTGTCTTCCAACTTTGTACAAATTGGTCACATTCTGTGTAGCACAGCGTATCTACCAACACTGTTTTCTAAACAATATCATAGAGCCTCAACAGAAAGGATGTGCTAAGGGTTCAATGGGCTGCAAAGAACAACTTATAATCGACTCAGTCATTTCCAACCAGGCGTATAATATAGTAGTGACCTTTTTAAAAGCATATAATGACCGAGTGGAAGACTAAAATTCACCTTCAAATACCCGGTGAAAACAACATCGAAACTGAAGATATCCCAATTAAACGAGGCCTTTTCTAGGGGGCTCGTTTGGTCCCCCTAAAACAGTCCTCTTTGGTTCTGTTTAGCGATGAACCGACTATCTCAGCTACTGAACTCCACTGATATCAAATGAAACAAATGATATCAGTATGCATTTTGGACTAGACAAGTGCCGTATAGTAAATATAGTCAGGAAAGGTTTAACCCGGAGGTTTCGATATGCAAGATGGCCAAAACATCGAGGCAATGGGTGAAAATGGTATGTACAAATATCTCAAAGTAAAGCAAGCGCGGAAAATTACCATAAACAAATGAAAACTGAACTAACTTCGGAGTTCGTGCGAAGAGTAAGACAACTAAATCGGTCATATCTTAATAGTAAAAATTTGTTTAAAGCATTAAATACGTACGCCTGTTCTGCGCTGAGCTACTCATTTGATATTATAAAGTGGTCAAAAACGGATATAGAGGTTCTTCAGAGGAAAGTAAGAACACTTCTCACAAAGGCGCAAAAACATCATCCACGCAGTACAGTAGAGAGAACATTACCGCGGTATCAAGGGGGAAGAGGACTTATGGATATAGGTGAGCAATTGGATAAACAAATTGCTAATTTAAGAACTTATTTTCAGGTACAGGTTGAGACATCTACTTTACATCGAGCAATTTGCGCAGATGATACAACACCGCTTAAACAGAGGGAATAAGAAATGCGCATAAACCACCTGACTCAGCAAGAAAAAATGTGTATCTGGATGAGTAAACCTCTGCATGGGCGACATCTCAATGAGATCAGCCAAGAATATATCGACAACACAGCGTCGAACCATTGGTTGACATCAAGAAAGATGTTTCCCGAGACTGAGAGTTTCCTACTTGCCATTCAGGATCAGGTTATTCCAATTAGAAAATATATTGTTAAAGATTCTCAAGTCCAAAATGACAAATGGCGATATAGATGCCAAGCCCAAGAAACCATCCAACATCTTACCGGTGGCTGCCAGGCATTTGTCGGTACCGATTAGAACGCCGTGACTCAGTAGGAAAGATTATCCACCAAGAACTAGCTACATAATACTACAAGCTACATAATAGACCGGATCTCATACTAGTTAATAAAATTACTAGGCAAACACTTATTGATGTGGCGATACCTAACACTAATAATTTGCGTGTCAAATAGATCGCCAAGTACAGAGATTTAGAAATACAAATCAGGAGATAATGGAGAATGAAAAGTACCCAGACAGTACCTATTATTCTATCTACTACTGATGTTATTCCCAAAAACCTTCTAGGGAACATAAAATGGCTGCGTCTAAATGAACATCTTTATAAGTCCATGCAGAAAGCTGTACTACTCATGACGTACATATGTGTACGAACATTTTTGGGACATACTCCAGCATACCAAGCCACCTAGGGCTCGATAATACGGAAAGAGTCCCACAAGAGCTCAATCTTTCTGATACCGTAGGTATCTAGGATGAATGAATTTTCTTCCCTTAGAAGAAGTGGCACATATGGGTAAATCTGGATAATAATAATAATAAAAGTCCACCATGTTTTCAGGTGTAATCTCTGGGGCCAAAACACTGACAAAAAGGAATGCCATTTTCAGTGCTGCTCTGAGTGCACAATTTTGGTTTGAGTCCTTGAGTGGTTTATGTCTAGTTTGGCTTAGGTCATTGAACCGTTTTGTTTTTAACTTTTTTCTATCCATCATTTTTGTTACTAACTTTTGTTGATATTGTTGTAGTGCGTTAGTGTAAGGAACCATCAGAGAATTCGATAATTGAAGAAGCCGAATGTTTTTATTCAATGAATAATTGAGGAGCAGACTTTCAAACCGCACTTTGACCATATTTTCACATTCTGACTTCGATGTGGCGTTGGATTCGTCAAAACCTCATTTATTAATTTACATACTCCGATATTCTTAGCGTAATATTTCACGTATATTTTTGGCTTCAAAAATCACCTAGACAAACAAAACGCATTTTGTCCAGTAGCGAGAGACAAACAAAATAGCGCTATTTTGCTTGCAATGCTTTTTTACCATGTAAAGACTTTATTTTGTAATCAAACATATGTGATATTATTAGTGCTTAATAAGTTGTTTTTTATTACAATAATAATATTAAAATGAGTGGAGGTGAGTATATTGTGGGTGATACAAATAGAGGAACGAGAAGAAGAAAAATAAATACTAGAAAAATAAATACTACGTCAAAAGAACGTAAGAGAGAAATAAGATAAATTGCAGGTTATGTTGTGTTTTTGTAATTTAATTTGTTTTATTAATGGCGGTCTCTATTCTTAATTGCGGTAAAAGAATAATTCATACGATAGTGAGAAAAAATATGCTTGGCACTGGTATAAAAGACAACCGTGATGGAGATAGAAAGTTTAAGAAAAATGCGCTTAAATTAGAAAGTGTTATGAAATTTATTTCGTCTTTGAAGGGCCATGAAAGCCACTACGATAGAGGCAAGTTTAAAAGAATTTATTTGCCATCTGAGTTAAACATAAAAAAGCTCTGGAAAATGTGTAATGATCAGATTCAGGATGATTCACTCCCAACAAACTACAAGTACTTTAGTCGAATTTTCAGCAATAAGTTTAATATAGGTAGAT